TGGATGATCTCCTGAGATCCCTTCCAATCCCTACCACGCTGTGATTCAAACCTCAACCCCACGGTAGAATTCCAAAGAAGTACTTCTGATGGAATCCCGGGTTTCATTCTGGCCTTGAAGCTTGGTCCAAGCTGCTGTTGCACTCAGTGTGGTGTCTGGTGCCTACAAACAAGGGTTGTGTTCAGCTGCAAGCTCTGGGCAGATCATTTTCCCCTTGAAATGGAGCTTTTTTAGTTCCAGAGATCTGCTCATGTCACGTCTGTGCAAAACCAAGGCCGGTACGATAGCGTGGATGTTTCACAAGGACTTTTTACTTGCAGACACTTGCCCAGCACAAGTATTTTCTGCCTTTCCTTATAACAGAACCTGCTCCAAGAAAAATCATAGGATCATTGAATGGTTTGGGTTGGAAGGGACCTGAAAGCTCATCCAGTTCCAACCCCCCTGCCATCAGCAGGGACACCTTCCACTAGACCAGGTTGCTCAAAGCCTCATCCAACCTGGCCTTCAACACTTCCAGGGAGGAGCAGCCACAGCTTCTCTGGCCAACCTGGGCCACTGTCTCACCACCCTCACAGTGAAGAAAAAAAAGTGAAGAAAAAAATCCAGAGTTTCCATGTGACAGTCTAAAATTATTGACTTTTGGAGGTGAAACTCAACTTCTGCACCTCTGAGGAGATGAAGGCTCCTGGATCCAATTGTATTTTCTCATCTTAAGCCAAAAGCCGTTTTCTGCAGAGCCTGGGAATTGCTAATGCCGTGTGTCTGTGGGTCCTGGGTGATTCTGTGCTTCTTCTCAATTCATACTGTAGGAGTCTGTGATTTAGAAGGGATTTAGATAGAGTAGAATCAAGGAGAATAATAACTCTGTGATTTAATCTAGATTTAGATGTATCAATGGATACATGGAGCTTTTTCTCTACTTCCCTGGTGTCCTTATGGCTGCACAGATTTTACATCTATTCAGTTGTTGCTTTTGGGATCAGCGTTTGGATCCTCGCTCAGTTCTTCACCACCAAAACCAAAACGAAGGTAACTGAACGTGTAAAGACTTTTGGTCTGAGAAACCCCCAAAATCTGCGTGTGGAAGTTGAGCAGTTGCTGGGTAAAGGTACCCACTGGTGCAGGGAATTGTGTTCCTTCACCGTGGGTCACTGCAAATCCCACCTGTAATTCACCTGACGGTCACCACCTCGGTCTGGTTGGTTTCCTCTTTGTGGGTCACTAAATGCCCTCGTTGATCTGATGTTGGAGCAGATCTCAATGCTCCTCCCTTTGTTAATGTGAGACTATGATGGTGAGGTTGGACTGGTTTTAGTGGGATTAGGCTGTTCAGGGAGTTAAAACCTCCTCGTGCAGGTTAGTGAATTTCTGCTGCACGAGTTGGGAGGTTCTTGGATCCTGCTATCTCCCCTCTGTGTGAACCTGATGAGGAGAGGCTGAGAGAGCTGGGACTGTTCATCCTGGAGAAGAGCAGCCTGAGAGGGGATCTGATCAATGTCTGTAAACATCTGAAATGTGGGGGCCAAATGGATGGGGCCGGGCTCTTCTCGGTGGTGCCCAGTGACAGGACAAGGGGCAATGGGCACAAACTGGAACACCAGAAGTTCCAGACAAACCTAAGGAAAAACTCCTTTCCTGTGAGGGTGCCGGAGCCCTGGGACAGGCTGCCCAGAGAGGGTGTGGAGTCTCCAT